CTAGAACTTGGACCGAGTTCTAGCATCGCGGACATTGGACTTTAAAGGTGTTATACATTTACATACTTGTACGTCAGTATTTACACCTTGCAGGTCAAATTATTACCTTATAGTATAACTCGTATAGTATAATAAGTAAACTGCTTGCTTTTAATTGTGTAAATTTTACAATTTCGTGTAATTTTCCATCATGTATAAACAAGTATTTGTATGGCAAAGAATAAAAAAATTTTTGTAAAAGTACATAAATTTATATATTTCCGTTATTAATAGTGTGTTTGAGACGACACATTGCGTCTTTAACAAAGGAATTGGAGATCGTCTCCTAAAGGCGATCTCAGTTCCTAAATTAAATAAAAACCAGTTAGCATGAGTTTCTCTCTCTGGATTTCGTTTTAAAAGCGTCTCTTGTTTGCTTCGTCACCGCACAAATCAACAACCCGTATTGTTGTTTTCGAGAGAGAGACTCATGTTAACAACAATTACCGGCGATTTTGACAAAACGCTTCGTCAACGGTTTGACGGCTCAGACCTGCGCAACCCGCAGTATCAGCCGCGGAGCATCAATCAACGCCTTTGACCGGCGCTCCGCGAAATCCAGCGTGTAACCCACTGATTGGAAATCGGTAATTAGCACGACGCAATAAAAACATCGGTCGCAAAGAGTCGGCGCCTTTTTTCTCCGAGTTTCCACGACGAGCAATCGGTATCCTCTTAGCGAGTCTTAGTGCGCGGAAAAAAAAGAGAACGATTTCGCCTGTTCTCTGGTCCGCGTTCACCGTTGAACTTTCGCTTCGGCGAACCCGTAAACCGCGTGTATCAGAACCAATTTGTAAGTTATTAAAATGTTATTTTGTGCTTAAGAAAACTCTGAGTCCTGTTTTCTGAGAGACCCTTCGTCGCTCACTCGCTCGTTCGATCCTGCCTTTATTGCGCTCTCGAACATAGTGCAATCGCTGCACTTATTATGTGTGTAGTTTTATATACTTTTTTTGCAGTGTACGTGCGTCCGCCTCGATGTCTCTCAGTGAAATAAATTTGTTTTCTTCGTATATACGAAATCTCGAAAATACCCAGACGTCCAGCGTTGAAAGATGAGAAGTTACGACACGTGTCTAGCGGCAGATAGCCTCCGCGAAATAATAATCAATTTCAGAACCGGCCAATTGCCGAGGGACAATGTAATGCGCTGAGATAATGCCGCGTAACTGCCGCGGAAATCTGCAAATTGTGCAAATTCACGTGGCAGGCCTCAACGTCTAACAGCGTCGCGTGCGTTCGCGTTCGCCTCGGAATGCGCGGTTTCTCGCACGTCCATGCGTAACGCGTGGCGCGATTGTTCGACAATCATTTGCCAATCCGTCGTGTTCGCGTGCGTTGCGACGATAAGCGTAACAATGGCGAACAAAGGAGCAAGGTTGCGAAGGATGGCTGCGCCCGCTCGCCGGTATTACAAATCGCGAAAAGGGGGGAAGTCCGTTCGACAAGGGCGCGGTGTACCGCGATAGTCCGTCGTCCATTAGGCCCCGACAATAAGAGGCCCCGCGGGTCCGAGCTGGAGCCCGCGGACCCGCCGTCGGGCCTACTCCAGGGAGCGTATCGCAATTCTATTGTGTCGCGAATCGCGCGCTACCACTGTGTACCGCGGAATTACGTGGCGCGGGCAAACATCGCGGTCGGATTCGTGACCGCCGACCATTATCCGCGCGCGAAAGACGTTCCGTTTTGCGGTCGCGGAAAGGGAATATTTTCGAGAGTATCGAGTGGCTACGGCCGCGTCAGGCACCGGCGTGTAACACTCCCGTCATCGTGCGTTTCGCAACGCGCCAGTTGTCTCGATAGATTCTATTTCCTGGCTAATCCCATTCCGAGGCGAAAATCTGTGTTATACAAAAGATAAGCGTAGTATATATATACTTGTACAGCATTTAAATAGATTAAAATGTGCTCTAAGAGCTGATTTTTGAAAAAATACGACTTTGGAGCACGGCGACGATACGTCTGACGGCAACTCATGAGTTGATTAAAATTTGGAACATTGGGAATATGACGCAAAGCATTCAAAAACGGAAAAACAACAAAGAAATTGAGCACATGTCGTATTTAATGATAGCTTGTATAACTTATAGATTTTTGCCTCGGGATACAGCACAAACCTCCAAGAGACGTCTTTAAAACGTCCTCGGGACGTAAGACGTTCTAAGGAGGTTGTCTCGAATGCGATGTAGAGACGATCTTTCATGAAAGGTCCAGGCACTTTTCCAGCAACTAGCGATTGAAACTAGGGAGAACCTAAATTTTATTGGAGGCTACTGAGTAATGATAGAACCTGCATTTTGGTCCCGACCGATTGAAACAGCAGACTCTGATGGAACTTTTACTTGAGGAAACCAGCGTTGGACGACGACTTCCCTCGACGTGCTCGCCGAAGAAGGATTGGCGTTAAACCGTCCCAACCGTCTGTCATTCAAGTATAATGAGGTAAAAGTGGGACACGCCGCATAAGTATGAACAATACGTAGCATCAGCCGTAAGGCGGATTTTGAGTTTCTATCGGTCCTTAATTCTGATATGAGCCCGCTTCAAGTCACCGGGCGTACGAATTTACATATCCTCGAATGTCCGAAGTGCTAGCGCGCAAAAGAATTCGCACAATTCGCCAACTTATACATCCAACTAACGAATAGAGAGATATGCGAGTCAAGGATCTTTTATGTCGAATTGAATTTCCCCTTTTCGAATCCGAATCGAAGCAAATCGAATTAAATTGAATCATAATTTTTAATTGAATTTTAACATTTAACGTAAATAAGAAAATATTTTGAAAAATAATGTTGATTATATGATATAAATTTGTTTTGAGACGAAAATATATTTCAATATTGAATATGAAACTAATAATTAGGATATATAGTAATTAATTTTTTTTAACACCGCAGTGCGTAGTAATTAAAATCCACTGATATAGTTTTTCATCAATACTCTTTAATTTGGGTCCAAACCCGAAGCGAAAATCTGTGTTATACAAAAAAATGCTCAAAAGCGAAGCGTAATATATATACTTGTAGTAGTTAAATATATTAAAAAGGCCAGTGCTCCAAGAGGTGGTTTTTGAAGAAATATGACTTCGGAGCACGTTGATGACACGTCCGACCGCAACTCATGAGCTGATTATAATTTGGAGCACTGAGAATATGACACAGAGCATTAAAAAACGGAAAATAACAAAGTAACTGAGCATATGTCGTGTTTAATGATGACTTAGATTTTCGCCGCGGGAAGGTAAGAATCAATTACATTTTATTGCTACTTAGCCGCTCAATGAGCGGTTGTAGTACTGAATGCACCCACTGAATGTACCTATTAACATGACCATACTGTTTTGCTTATTAACGAGAAATATGATTTTACGAAATTAGCAACATATATGATTTGATTAAAATTTCAAATTTTAATCGACCTCAGCTGGCCACATTCATTGAATACGCTTTCGCTACGTTTTCACCTTTGGTTTAGGTCCTTATCAAGTGAGATCTAGGAGTAAATGTTTTACATACAGTTTACGTGAAAAGTATAAACGCAGTATCGCAGAGAGATTGTCGGTCTACCTTGTTACGGAGTTTGTCGTATGAAATTACAGCCATAACTTGGCGAACGGTGTTAAAAAATAAGAGCAATTTCACTAACGTTCGGAGTAGATGATTGTAAGACGAAGACTGATTAGTCATTTTCATATTCAGAGTATTCGGGTAACAAACATACACATATAAGACAAACACACCAAGCTAATAATTTTGTCATATATCGGATTAAGATTATCCGTGTCATTTTTTAAGTCGATGGTGTTCTTGGTTTTTTTTATGAGAAACATTTCAGCTATCTCCCTTTTCTTTGTGTGCCTTTTATTATGTACAATTTCAGGGGATGACCAATCAAAGTCATGTCCGGTTGCTGTGTACGCTGGCCACTGAGTAATTTTCAGGGTGTTTTTGTATGATTTGCACTCGAACTATCTTGATTCGAAATTTTCTAATAATTTCAATCGAATCGAGTTGGGTGAGTTCGAAGTTGCACATTTCTACTAACAAATCCGTATTACAGATCCACGATTGAAATACATGTTCGCGGATTTACGGATTCGTAGCTGTACATCTACGTGAACAACAAACGTAAACAGGAGCCACGCGCGCGAAATTGTGGAATAAAAAATCGAAGAATGTTTGGCGCGTATTAGTTTGGCATTCGATTAATCCCGATAGTGATAACATAAAAATTCACGTATGTCAATCTTTCTGGAAGATCATGGATTATTCGAATCACACACGCAATGGTAAAAAGACTTCCTAAATCCACCGATCCGACACGCAACGGTACGTTCCAGCGAGAGACCGTAGCGAGCATTCGGATCATACAAAGGTCGCGCAAAGGTCCGAAACCTCCGGCCAGTCACGCCGATCCCGTCGTCATCGTCGAGGCCTGTCACTCGATTAAATTATCCTTCACATTCACCGAGAAGTGCGAAGCCCATGAAAGGCGCGCGCGTCATTATAATCCTAGCGCGCTCCGACAAGCGAAACGCGACGCGGGTGCTTTAAAGCTCGCGCTCGGCATCGTCGAAGCATCCTCGACGGAGAGGGTCGGTCCTCGTCAACTTACCCTCTTGGCGAGCGGCGGCGACAAGCGCGCAGAGCAGCAGCAGGCGCAAGAGGAGGACCTGGCCGCGCGGGGCGGTCGCTCCTCGTCGACACCTCGGCATGTCTCTCCCTCGGCCTCTTCGCGGAGGACCCCGTCCTCGATGAGTGGCTCGCACTTGCGGCGGGTGTCACGCGCGGAGGGTCACTCGCAGCTCATCGCGCGACCAAGAGCGACCGACCGGTCCCCATTCGACGCGGTTGTCGCGTCGGTGGATCCGCGCTCCAGCGGACTCGTGCGAGAACTGTCAGTGCCGTTAGCCGCACGCGGGTAGGACCATCGCCGTCGGGCCGAGGAACGGCGCGTTCGTACGCGAGCGCGGCACGCTTGTCACTGGCCAGGGTAGAGCGGGCAGAGCGGGTAGAAAGCAAAATCCGACTTTCACTTGGCCGAGGCGCGAGCGAGCTCGAGGCGGAGCTGGCACGTCGAGGCCGCCAGGATCCACCGTCCCTTCCAACGGCTGCGGGACCCTCCTCCGTCTCTCCCTCCGCTTCTTCTCGGTAAAATCGACGGGTCTTGCCCGCCCGCGTGCGTTTCGGCGCTCGTGAAAACGATCGGGGACAGGAATCGACGGCGGGACCGACGGGCAAAGGGGAACGTCGACGACGAGTCCCCCCGATGACAATGGCCGCGGCATCGCCACCCGCCGCACCGGTGACGTTCTTAGCGCCTGGCGGGAGTCGCACACGGGGAAACGCCGGATCTGCATCTCCGCGCCTTTCCATTTGCATGACTTTTAGCAATGCTTCTCGCTCTCAAGAGATTGGAGTTAACTCGCGAGTCGACGGCTCCGACGCGATAAAACGGACAGCACTTATCCGCGTGCAGAAGTCGATGCGCGCCAACACGCCTCGGAGAGCCGAAAAAACATATAAAGCTGCATTTTTCATGTATTTCGATGGAAATTATTTCAGAATGCAAACTCGTATACCTGCATTTCAATTGCGACTTAAATTTGATTGCGTACGATCTAATTAAATGGACTGCTCCCAAATTCTTTGTTCTGTTTAATCCAGTATACGTATATCAATAGGTGGCTTTTCACAGTTTTGTGTTTCGGATTTATCTCTCGCATCCCGTTACCTTTCAATTCGTTACCGTAAGCAGAGCTAATCGGAGTCGACTCACAGCCGACATGAATTATAAATGGAAAGTAGATATGACAAGTCGACTGGAAAGCACTTATCGCATTTCACAGCGATGACACGTCAAGTATCTTCTTCGAAATATTTCAAAAAGATGTTCCTCATTACGCAAAGGCAAGATCTCTCTCTCTTGTTCCTCCTTTCTTCACATTTACTGAACAAACCAGGGACTTTAATATAAAATGAGATTACCAAAGTAAACTTTGCTTTCTTTTACACATATAGAATATGAATCCTCCATCTTTATATACGTACATAGATTCCCTCAAAACTTTATCACTTTTCAATGTGCATTCTTTACATTGCATATCAATGCACTCAATTTACCGAAGAAAAAGCAAAGACTTTAATATAGAATAAGATTACTGAAGTAAACTTTGCTTTCTTTTTACACACACACACAGAATATGAATCCTCTAACTTTATATACTTTATGCATTCAATTAGATGTAATTTAATATAAATATGACATGTAATTAAACACAGACGTATCTTGCTGCTTGTTTTTCGACCCTTTGAATCTCGTAAAAACGCGGGTCGGCACTTAATTAATTACAAGTGCACGCTCGTGCACGCGGATATCGCCAAGTATCAATAAGATCACCTTGTTACTGCCAACCGTTCACCTTGATTCTTCATTTGTGCAAGCGGGTCCATCGATGAAGTTTTCCAAACGGCTTTCAGGATCGACGACCGCCGCGAAGGCGAAGACACGTCGAGAGAGATCACTGTTTTCTCGGTGTGTTGCGGACGTTGAACGAACTCTCAAATTCTACCGCGAAGACAGCTCGTGCTCGCTTGCAAAAGTTATCCGTCGCGAGAACGTTGCACAATTTTCTCGCGCGACAGCGTCGCCTCTACCTCAAATAACGCTCCTGTAACAAAAGTATGTAGCTTCAGGTGCGGAAAGAGATTTCAGCGTGCGAAAGAAGCGCTCGAGATCTGTAAAGATAGACGGTGTAACGGCGGCGGGTTTCACTCCGCGCCGAGCGGGCCTCGAACTCGTCGCCAGCAAATTTACAGTATTAATATTATTAGTGAATAATATATAGGAAACGCCTGGCTGCAATAATCTATCTAATCGATCGCGTTACTCGAACGGTGAGAAATACGATTCGCGCCCGCCGAGTGCGATCCAGGGGAATCGGATTTCAGGGTCTCCCACGGTACTTCCTCGACCTCCGGCCGGGCCTTCGCAAAAATCCTCTCTCTCTTTCTCTCTCTCTCACTCGCTCAAGTCCATCCTGTTACCCCACCCGTTCGTTAACCCTCGCCGGTCGCGCCTGACCTTTACCGGGTCCGCCCGTAACGTCGAACGTACAGATTGATTCACATCCGGACGGAGAAGCAAAAAAGCGCAGCAAGGTCGGGAGAACCGGGAGAAAGTCGGCGGCGTCGCGTGATGTAATGTCGATCGATGACGATGATGATCCCTTCGGTGAATCGCGCTCGGTACGATCTGAAAAATTCGCCGTAAACAAAAGCCCGCTCGGCGTATCGTTCCCGCGAGATTTCATTTTCTTAATATAATCAGGGACGTTACGTTATATAACTCTCCAATTATATTATTACATAATTCCCCTCGTTATCCCCTAATTATGTTATCAAACCGTGAAATTACCTCCGATCGAGATAGAGCGAAAACGACGGGCTCTCAGAAACGCCGAAAATTTTGAAAAAGAAAAAAAAGACAAAACGATTTTTAAGCAGAGTCGAAAGGCAGCCTCTCTTTTCGCGAGGAAGATTGAAAAGATTTCAGACGCTGACGCTCACTCGGCAAATATATCTCTACGACACTTGTGCAATAAGAACAACGAGCATCTCCTTAAGAGCAAAGAAGATAATTGTGTTCTCATAAAGTGTTGCCACTCTCATCTCGCGGCATCCCGAATATTTTACTGCTGCAAAAGGCTCGCTTTCCACGAGTGACGCGAGCACATGGGCCGGGAGATGTTAAAAATTTCGTAAGGATCCTCCGTGAGAGAATCCCAAAGTGAGATCCTCTGCTCTCGATTGTTTCGCGCGCGCGTTACCTAGTGACGTAACGCTCCGCTACGTAGGAGTTCGCCGGCTGTTTAGTTTACCGATTTATATTCTTACCACGATAGCAGGAAGTGCAACGCGCCGTTGTGTATCGTAACGGTATATACGTACATAACGCGAGGGATATACAATGTAGATATCCGCCTGGCGTTTATTAGGCAACGATACGTCTGTCGACAGCCGTTACGATAAATTAACTTATCGCGAGCAGAAATATTGCTATCTAACTTTTATGCAGAATCTGAAAGACGAAACGCGTGTTTGTCAATATATATAATTCTCATTTTCACAAACGATTCCTTTTTATGAATGAACTCATGCATTCTGTTTCGGCATAAATTAATTTGTTCAGTCAACATTAGATTGTACTTGAAAAGGACCCGATAAAGAGATTGAAACGTTGTAACTTAAATAAAGATCACTTTTTTGGCCAGTCTGATCGACTTCCTAAAAAATTTTCCCTTCGTTTAATTACCGCTGGCGACAATAGGCTTCACTCAATTCGGTTGATTCCTTTTCAAATTATTTACCATTGTTGAATGATGCTGGGCGTTGAAACGTCAACGGGCGTAACGTTCCTCGTGAATTCGTCATCTCACATCCGGCGTTAAACTTTCCGAGATGTTGGAGTCTCAGTTATTCAAGCGTTGAAATCGCCGAGATTTTATCATGTTCAGCATCGGATACAAACTTGGAACTGTAATCGTGTCAGTGTCGCCATCTAGAAAACACTACAGGAACTATAACAATCAACGGACCTCATCATCTCATGATCAAGTTAATTCCTGTAAAAATAAATTAAATACCTTTTACTGAATACGCCTTCACGTTTCGACCTTTGATTTAGGTCCTTTTCAAGCGAGATCTAGGAGTAAATGTTTTACATACAATTTACGTGAAAAGTATAAACGAATTGTACAGTATCGCAGAAAGATTGTCGGTTTACTTTGTTGCAGAGTTTGTTAAATAAAATTGCAGCCACAATTTGGCGAACAGTGTTCAGAAATAAGAGCCATTTCACTAACGTCCGGACGATTGTTATGGATCTCGTCCCTCGATCGCGCAGACCCTGAAATGCGAGCAAAGGAGTAATCGAACGAAAGATCTGATTGTATGTAGACTCGATCGGAATAATCGAGCAATTATCGTTGTGCCCGGTCTGTCGGGCGCGAGAAACGCCTGAACGCGCGAATACCGATCCATTGAATTCAGTGTCAGAAAACCGTTCGCAAGGTAAAAGAGAAAAAGACTGATGGAGTACGAGGCTAAGCCTTGCAGCCGTATTATCCATAAT